CCTGCCTTCAACTCTCACTTCCCCACTTGATCTGTACAAAAGAGGGCAGAGAGACAGGATGATGTTCACGATGGAGACAAACATGTTTCTCATGTTCACTGTCTATTACATGGTGAGAGATATCATTTCCATTCTTTTCATCTGAGAGGAGCATTTTATTCAAACAAAGGAGGATAATTAAATTACAAGATCCTGTGGATATGACATCCGTGATTAATCAGCTCTTCTTTGTGTGACACAGTGAGTATCAGAAACCATTATTGAGTCATTTATAATAAGGTTTAATAATGTTCAGATGACATACTTTTACCATAGTGTTCTAATTTTGAGTATCTTTTGTTTGTTACTATCCTTGATGGTTTGTTTTATTGGATTTTCAGGATCTCCAGATGGACTTTACATTGAGAGATTGCAATTCCTTGATTTAAAAAAGATATAAAAATGGCTCCTGGAGGGAAAGAGGACAAAACAATGCAAAAAGGAGGATCCGAATGTTTAAAACTGAGTTTTATTTTTCTCTTGCTGAATATCAGCAGTTGTGTTGTTCCAGTCACAGGATTTTATCTGAAGTCTTGCCATATCAGTTACAACAACGCCATATGTACCAAGAGTAACCTCCACGCGGTTCCTTCAGATATTCCCTCAACGGTGCAAGGTTTTTACTTGGCTGAGAACAAAATTTCAATCCTAAAACCACCAAATTTTAAAAATCTTTCCATTTTGACGCAGTTAGACCTGAAACGCAACTACATTTCGCAAATACACCGAGGCGCCTTTGTCGATCTGATTTCCCTCAAGAAATTCAATCTAAACAATAACAGGCTTGTTGTACTTGGAGATGATCTTTTTCAGGGTTTGAGCAACCTCACAGAGCTCAGACTCATACATAATCGCATCAAGTCGGTGTCATCCACCTCTTTTAAGTCCTTGACAAGCTTGACGTTTTTGGACATCTCCAAAAACAAACTGTACCACTTGACAAAAGTTCACACTATATTACAGCAGCTGCCAAATCTACGGGAGCTGTCAGTGGAAAAGAACGATTTAACCACTTTTTATTCGTGGGAACTGACAAACAGCTCGCTAAAACTCACTTCCCTTGATTTGTCTCAAAATCCTATTGCCGTCTTCAGGATCACCGCAGATGTTTTTCCAAATCTCACCTGGTTAAACATCGGCCTCCATTCTTCTAAAAAGACACAGATGAAATGGGACATTCGTAACAAGACTTTTCTTAGTCGAGTGTCTACTCTTGATATTAGTGGGCTTAAAATCGATAATGATGCCATGAAAACGTTACGAGAGAACTTCAACCCCTCACTGACTTCTCTGAGGATGAATGAAATGAAACATACACGCCTTACAGCACTCGTCAACGTTTCCTGTACCATCCCAACAGTGTCCACAATCCAACTCAGACGTAACAACCTACTCTATATTAATGCGCAATTCTTCCAGTTGTGTATTAACATAACAGAGATAGATTTAGCCAGCAATAACATACAGAATATCAGTGAAGAGGCCTTCAGATCTCTGCGAGGGTTAAAGATCTTGAGTCTGACTCAAAACAAACTTCCATGTGTTCCAGCTGCCATAAGGAATCTACCAACTCTCCAAAAGCTGGATCTCAGCAAGAATAAGATCAAAACACTCGAATGCAACGATTTCACCAACCTCACAAATCTCAGACAGCTCAGCCTTCATCAAAATTCAATCTCAGCTCTCAAGGAGTGCGTCTTCAAGGATTTGATACAATTGCAAGTTTTAAAGCTGCAGAACAACAGCATCTCCAAATTAGAAGGTGCTTTTAAAATATACCTTCCAAATTTAAAACAACTGCGTTTGAATCTGAATAAACTCCCCACCATTAAACACGGAGAATTTGCAGGCTTGCAGTCACTCCAGAACTTGTCATTAAATGATAATCAAATCAATATACTTGAAAATGGGTCTTTTCTCGGATTAAGGAATCTTACCGATATTCAGCTGAACGCGAATAAAATAGATGAAAAGGGGCTACGCAAAGGTTTTTTCCATGATCTGATCAATTTAAAAACATTGGATTTGAGGGACAATAAAATTAAATACTTTGAGAGTGTAGCTTTGCCTGATCCACCATTTTCTAAGCTGTCCCGTCTGCAGAAGTTGGTGTTTCTTGGAAATAACCGTAGGGGGAAGTCCTTGCTGCCTTCCAACTTCCTTCAAGGTTTGACTAATCTTTTGGATTTCAATGCCAGGAACACTCAACTTTTATCCTTGCACAAAGACACATTTACTTACACGCCTCAACTGCAAACACTTGACATTAGCGCAAATGACCTCATGGATCTCTCCCCGGAGTTGTTTTACCCAATCCAAGGCCTTCTAAGCCTCTCCATATCTAGAACAAGCCTTCAATCTCTAGATTTCCTTATAGAAGCCAACCTTACTAAACTGGAATTCCTGCAGGCAAGAAGGAATCAATATTCAGTAGTCAGTGAGAAAGTTATAAAGTCCTTACCGGCTCTCGTTTACCTCGATCTTCAAAGCAATAGTTTCACCTGTGACTGCGATAACGCCTGGTTCAAAAGTTGGACAGTTATCGACAAGCAAACACAAGTTTATGACGCCTACAACTTTGTGTGCAACTATCCTTCAAACCTTAAAGGTATGAAACTGTTGGACCTAGATGTCCAGTCCTGCACAGTGGACATAGACTTCATCTACTTTATCTGCACCACATGCATGATCCTCCTGTTTATGTTGGTGTCCTTCACCTACCATTTCCTGTGGTGGCAGCTGGCCTACGCCTACTACCTCTTTCTGGCTTTGCTCTTTGACACAAAGTTTAAAAACAAGCAAGCTGCCAATCAGTACGACGCCTTCGTCTCCTACAACACCCATGATGAGCCGTGGGTCATCAGGGAGCTGTTGCCAAAACTGGAAGGGGAACAGGACTGGAGATTGTGTCTGCACCATCGAGACTTCGAGCCAGGTGAGACCTAGCATTGAACAACATGTTTTAGCCGTGCTTGTGGATTGGCTTTTGGTATAGCAATGTCTGCCGGTTGGTTGGTTCAGAAACAATGGCAGGGTTCGGGTTTGGGTTCAGTTTTTGGAGAGCAAGCAACATTGATAATCTGGCAACTGGCTGGGGTAAAGGGGTTGGTTTATGTACTGAAAGGGTGATTGGGGAATGAAACACAAACAATCAAACACAATTTTCAAGCAAACGGTCTGATTTGAGTATGTACACTTGGCAAAACTGTATTCTGGCAATTAATAACCTATGGTGCATGTTACTTTTATGTGTTGCTTTGTACTTTCATCAATACTCCAGAGGGTGTCACCATAGTACTCTTTGTACTGCACCATCAGAGGAACTAATGAGGCAAATTCAGACTTTTTTTTTCCTGACCCTTTTCTTCTGCTTTTTCCTTCTCGCTTCCTCAGGTAAACCCATCATAGACAACATCACAGATGCTATCTACGGAAGCAGGAAGACCATCTGTGTGATCAGTCGCAGATACCTCGAGAGCGAGTGGTGCTCCAGAGAGATCCAGGTGGCCAGGTAAACATGTCAGCCGACACACGGCAGTTCAACACCACACTAACTCTGTATGAAGCCAGTTTGTGTGACTGATCCGTCGATTCCTTCCGTTGTAGCTTCCGTCTGTTCGACGAGCAGAAGGACGTGCTGATCATGGTGTTTCTGGAGGACATCCCCATCGCTCAGCTGTCTCCTTACTACCGCATGAGGAAGCTGCTGAAGAGGCGGACCTACCTGAGCTGGCCTCGAGCCGAAGAGCACCCCGAGCTGTTCTGGGAGAAACTCCGCCAGGCTCTGAAGACCGGAGA